CTGCCGTGTTTGTGCTTGATTAAACGTGGGTGAGACCATAGAGACTTTAACTTCCCGACCTGGCGCTGGCTGCAGTTGCTGCCCACATGATTCCACTGCCCAGCCGGGAGGGTTTGGGTTTGTCTGAAGCAGGGGAAAGCGATGTATTTTTATGGCCATTAAACTCTAGCGAGCTTCCCAGATCAACCTGCACAGCTCCCTGCAGAGAGTTCATGTGCTTATGTGAGAGCGCTGAAGCCTTAGAATTCTGCTTTGATTTCAGGGACACACAGTGCTGCTGCCAGGTCCCACCTTCATTTATAAGGAACAAAACTTCTTATTTTTTAAACACCCCGTGTAGCCGTGACTGCGAGTGCAGCCAAGCAATGGGGCTGCTGCTCCAGCACCTCCGTCAGTGTTGTGGGCCATGGGGTGACCTGCCATGAATTCCCTCTGGGGCACAGGGGCGCTTGTGTGGGTTTTGACCTGGAGATCTGTGGGAGCAGGAAAGTGGAATAAATGGCTTTGCTGGATGCGTTGCAGTTAGGATCCTTCTTGAGCGCTGGGGTAGACCTTTGGGGGTGCAGGGGCTCCCTCAGCCTCAGGGCCCTGTGCCACGGCAAAAGAAGCTGGAGGGAAAGGGGGAGTGCAGCCCCTGTGAGCCAGGGCAGCAGCAAGGCTGGCTGCAAACCAGTGTTCAGGTTGTGCTGCTATTACAGGCATCACAAGGGCTGGTAAGAAGGTGTCTGTGCTGCTGCAGGTGCCAGAGCACTGGCTGTGTGCGTGTGTGGGATTCTCCTGGCTAATGCAGGCACTGCCGGGCAGCCAGCGAGGAGCCCAGCTGCAGTGCTCAAGACCCTGATCTCTGTGCAGGGAGGCATTAGTAAAGTCCACCCATCCAGCAGCTCCACGGCACTGGGCAGGCTCTGTGCTGGCTGCCCTGCTCCCAGCTGATCCCAGCAGGAGCCATCCCCCCATCCCAGTGAAGAGTGTCTGTGGTCACCGCGCATCGTGGCAGAACACAAGGTCGAGTGGAGGTGCTCGAGCAGCCCATCAGAGGCCAGCTCTAGCAGAGAGTGAGAAACAACTCAGGAAAGAGGCTTGGTTTAATTGAAGACGTTTAGAGAGGCCAGTGGTGACAGCATGGCGCTCCTCGGTAAGGTGGCTGCACCTCGGGGCAGGGTGGCAGAGGACACAGACCAGTCACAGCTCCCCTCGGGGCACGCCCAAGAACTGCAGCAGTGGAGCTGGGTTGTGTAACGGGCAGGATGGAGCGTGGGGAATGTCAGTGCCAGGGAATCGGGGGAGAGAGAGAGAGAGAGAGAGAGAGAGGCATTCTGGTCCAGAGAAAGCAAATACCGAGGAAAACCCGGGGCTTGAGCTCCTGAAGAAACTTGCAAACCAATAGACATGTTTAAGTAAAATGTGGATAAGCAAAAAAACCCCTCAAAACATGGTAAGATAATAAGGCTGGAAAGGTGCCTTGGGTCTCCCCATGGAAAGCACTGTGGCCCCTGCCCTGGCAGCGGGACCCAGCCAGGCTGCGAGAGGAGCACTGGGGACAGCTAAAGCGTGAACCCCCCAGACTGTTCCAGCCATGGCAGCAGAGCTCCTCTCCCACCCTGTGACCCAGCTAAAACCCCAAGAGAGGTACCTCTGCTGAAGCTTTCAGCTTAGACTGCAGCTCCCTGCCCTCTGCTGCAAAACTGCATCCCTTGAGCCATACTCAACTGCACCCAGCTGCTTGTGCTGCTGATTCAGAGGATAGGTCAGAAGAGACTTCTGGCCTCAGAGCAAAGCCCACATCGAGGTCAGCCCCAGCTTCCCAGGGCTTGAAGGTCTCCAAGTATGGACTCCAACAGCTTCAAGCTTGACCATCCTCATGGAGACCTTTCTGCCTTCTGTCAGTGACTGAGTTGGACCTCTTTGGTCCCAGAAGAGGGACCATCACCCCCAACCAGAATAGCCGTGGAAAGTGTCAGCCCAGGGGCCCAGGCTGGATGTTAACTGCTATAGTGAGCTGAGACCCAGCCCCAGGCTGGCCTGCCCATGGAGGGTCCTGCACCCAGGACACAGCTGGACAACCATGGGACAGCCACCAGGAGACTGCCCGCTGGCACTACCCCAGGGGTGCCCAGACCATGGCCTGAAGCACAACAGTGAGCAGCTAAGGGGGCTTTTCTTCAGCAAGAAGCTGCTGTGATCTGTGCACAGATCTCATCCCTAAAGAGCCTGCAGAGTCCAGCCCTGGGGCTGAGGGAGGGTGCATGCAGTGGGTGAGCAGGGCTCCAGCTGCAGCAGTTCTACACCCCAGCTTCCCTCCCCTGCTACATTCCAACTTGGACAAAGGCAGAAAGATCTATACAGTATAATATATATATATATTTCACTATGAAATAGCAATTTCATTCCCTGCCTTCTACTTGATGCATCCTGAATTAGATGCTGCTTTGTAAGTCATTCTGGAGGGTTGGTGGGGCTGGGTGGTTTTCATGCAAGGCAGTTGCCTTCCCTGGAGGTTACCCGCAGGAAGCACCTGCACCTGGCCTGGCAGGACCCAGACATGATTCTCATTCCCTGCTTCCCCTCGCCTGGCTCCCCCCCATCCCCATCAATAAGGGCATGACTAATCCTGCCAGGGCACTTATGGCTCGTTTACATGGTCAGCACAGATTCATTCAACTCATTCACGCTGCTTTTGGTAGCCATGGTGTGGAAGCAGCAGCTGAACCCCTCTACATCACGTACACAAATAGGAGCAAACCAGAGGCAAGGGAAGTGGCGGGGACAGTGCAACATGCACACAGAGTGGTGATGCGAAGGGCCCTCAGCTGGGGCACAGCCAGGCCTGCCTGGGCAGCACTTGTGGGCTCGAGGCCAAGGGGGTAAGGCAGGGCTGCAGCCCCGCAAGTATGAAGTCTACCAAATCTCGGTCAACCTGTGGAACAAGGAGTCCTGTCCAGGGGCTGGGTCACTGATCAAGAGCTGTCATCACTGGCATCAGTGCAGAGCCGGATGGTTCAGGAGATGAAAGGAAGAACAATCCTATGGAAAGAAAAGGGAAACAAGGCGTTTCAGATTTCTTCAAGCATACTAAGGAGGTGCTGTCCTGAACACCCTGTTGTCAGAGACAACAGCAAATGGGTTCCTAGTTACTGTGCTGGACAAAGAGTGAGGACTATGGTCACTGAGTATTGCAAGCTGGTCTCATAGAGCTAGGAAAATGAGAGACAGCAGGGACAGGTTAATCTGCTGTTAGGCCCTGGGCTCAAGAAAACAACGTCAGAGTTCAAACGCCCTTCCAATGGAACCAATGGGAGTTTGGCCCCCAGCTGGAGGCCAGGGCATAGCAAATGCCCCAGGCACCATACACAGCAGCTTGCCCAGCAGCAGAACTTAATCTCTGGCAGCCCTTGCCCCAGGACCCTCTCAGCGCCCCAGGACAGTGGCCATGGGACACTGCCACCACATCTCTGCTAGCCTTGGACAGGGAGCTCTTCCCCAGGTACCCACCTTTGCCTTCTGTACACCTTCCGCTCCCGTCACATCGTCCGGCTGTATTCAATGCCGCTCTTGGCAGAAATGCCTGACCAGGGCAGAAGGCTGCAGAGAAGGCTCTGGGCTTGTCGATATATCCTCTGGGGAATTGAACACGGGCTCAGGCTGGCCAGTGTTGATCCAATGTGCTGTAGGTAGTCAGTGGCTCTCAGTTAAGGACAGCAACATTCACACCGTAACTTAAGAAATAAATAACTTAAAATACTCTGGGGACTAACACTCCCTAAAGAGACCCCATAACACAGTGAAAGCTGCTCTGCTGAGTTAAACAGATCTACTCCTTGTGTTAACTGCCTGCTCCTTTCTATCAAAAGCAGGTCTGCTTTGCACCGTGGAGGGCGGCAGCTTGGGAACACTGGCTCCAACTTGTGTGGGAAATACCTCCTCTAGGCAGCTGCTAGTTCCCTTTGCACTCCACAGCAAGTTCCTGTGGGGATGGCAATCCATCCACTTGCCTGGAGAGGTTTGGACTGACCAGCTACACTCAGGAAAGATCAAGTTTCTCCTCCATGATCCAGTGACCTTAAACGAACTCCCAAAGCCAGTCTGAGAGCAGCCTGCTGAGATCAGACCAGGCTAGGGTCACAGGAAGCAACACAAAGGGCTTCCCTGCCATGCTCCTGTCCAAATCCTGCACCCCACAAGCCAAAGCATGCCTAGCACTTTGGCTTAACACACCAGTCTTCACTATCACTAGTATCAAACTTTGCTCCAACTTAGAAATCGATGTACCGTCCTCTGCTGCCTCTCTGAACTGTTCCCAGAGGAGCTGGGGGAGCCTGGGGACAAACAAGTCACTGTCCGATCCCTCTAACATTGCCTTCCTTCCAGCTTCAGATTAAACTCATGCCTGAGCAGGCATCAGTCCCCAGACCTTACCAGCTCACACACTGCTAGACTGCTATTGTTAACCCAGAACACGGTTTGGTTTTAGCATGCTCCACTGCTAATCAGACTGAAGGTAAAGGATATAAGATTGTCCAGGGTGGATGTCCACCATTGATGTACAGAACATAGGTGAAGCCATCTTTGAGGACCCCTCTGATGGAATAATAATAGGGAAGATAGTGGTGCTGTTTAAAGTCTCTGTTTTCATAGAAGGTTATTGCTGTGTTGTTAGTGGTGAGGACGTGCAGGTAGATGGCTTTGCAGTGATCCTGGGCGGTCGTTGATATATGGTCTTTTAAACTTTCAAGCAAGAGCGAACCTGTTAAAACAAAGAGCAGCAGAATCACACAGTGCAGCTGCTGTACCAGGGCAGCACAAGCATTTGTAGGTCCCAGCTGAGATCTCCTGCACCCAGCATCTAAGCAGCAACTGCTGCACACACTTGGAGACCCCAGATCTAACCCAGACCCTCCTGATGAATTAAACAGGACCACACTATGTGGGTTTAATATGGATCTCATCTTGCCTATGAGCATGGCTTCACAAAACACATAAGGACACAAACTTCTGATTCAATAACCACAAAGAAGAGCCAGACACGGGAACCTGACAGTAACACCCATCCCCAGGCAAGCAGCTCCCAGTTTTGAGGAGGGTCAGTGAGTCATTTCCAGTGGAATCACTTCCATCACATGTATGCAACAGAGCACATCTATGCACACAGAGCAACCTGGACTAGTGGCAGGTGTCCCTGCCCATGGCAGGGGTTGGAACTAGATGAGCTTTAAGGTCCCTTCCAACCCAAACCATTCTATGTATTTTAAAACCAGACTTCACAAGCAGGTTATTGCACTGTGTCTGCTGAACTTGAATCAAAATCTAAGAACTGGTAGGATTTTAAGATCCTTCCTAAGG